GTGTAACCTTGTCGTATGCCGGACCGTGTAACCTTGTGTAACCTTGTCGTATGAATGACCGTGTAACCTTGTCGTATGCCCGACCGTGTAACCTTGTCCTATGACGGACCGTAAAACCTTGTCGTATGCCGGACCGTGTAACCTTGTCGTATGCCTGACCGTGTAACCTTGTCGTATGCCCGACCGTGTAACCTTGTCCTATGCCGGACCGTGTAACCTTGTCGTATGCCGGACCGTGTAACCTTGTCGTATGCCGGACCGTGTAACCTTGTCGTATGCCTGACCGTGTAACCTTGTCGTATGCCGGACCGTGTAACCTTGTCGTATGCCTGACCGTGTAACCTTGTCGTATGCCCGACCGTGTAACCTTGTCGTATGCCTGACCGTGTAACCTTGTCGTATGCCGGACCGTGTAACCTTGTCGTATGCCGGACCGTGTAACCTTGTCGTATGCCCGACCAATGTTATCATCTCGAATGCAATAGAAAGCTTAATATTTTTTTTTTTCTTTCACGGTTTAACGTACTTTCTGTTTTTTTATTGATTATCTCCAGACCCCAGATAGGTCAATATAAAGATCCCACTGTCGGATGTATGAGATGAAGAATCGACATTTTGTTCCAGTAGGGCTAAACATAAATGTCTTAACATTGACAAAATCTGTCATTGATAAAATGTCTGTCGGGTTTTTTTCTCTACAGCTTAAGGGGCGCTTCTAGTTTATGCAAGGGGGGGGGTGTGTGTGCTCCTATTGGTTATATGCATGCGGTCACATAGATGTAAGACAGTGTTCCCAAACTTTTGACACATGTGTACCCCTGTCAATAATTTCGTAACACTGGGTACCCCTTGTTTAAAAAAAAATTACATATACTTAACAAAATTTTTTTTAAATATTTATTTTTTCCTTTGCAGCGCGCCTCCCCACCAAACGCTCCCCTTACCCCCAGGGGACGGGTACCACACTTTGGGAAACATTGATTTAAGGGAAAAGAAAAAGGATGCATACCATGAAGAAGTTTACATTTTTGAACATGCTCTTTGTTTTGTGCACAGTTTCCTAGAGCGATGAAATCTAGGGCGCCAAGAAGCATTCACCCTTGTTCTCAACCATTCACAAAGTGCAGCGTTATGAACAGAACCTTTTTGTAGCCACAATGTTCACACATAGAATCGTTATGAACAGAACTCGCTTGTAGCCCAACTGTTCACACATAGAATCGTTATGAACAGAACTCGCCTGTGAACAGTTGCTCCCCTGTAGCCCAACTGTTCACACATAGAATCGTTATGAACAGAACTCGCCTGTAGCCCAACTGTTCACACATAGAATCGTTATGAACAGAACTCGCTTGTAGCCCAACTGTTCACACATAGAATCGTTATGAACAGAACTCGCCTGTGAACAGTTGCTCGCCTGTAGCCCAACTGTTCACACATAGAATCGTTATGAACAGAACTCGCCTGTAGCCCAACTGTTCACACATAGAATCGTTATGAACAGAACTCGCCTGTGAATAGTTGCTCGCCTGTAGCCCAACTGTTCACACAGTGCAGCTTTATGAACAGAATCTGTCTGTAGTCCATTCGTCCAAGAAGAGCTATCTCGCCCATCAATCAATAGCTACTGGCAACTTCAACCCTCAACCCATCACCATAAAGGCGATGCTGGCTGATGAAAACGCAATCATCCGGAACGAATTTCTGACCCGTCGGCGAATTTCCGGTTAATCAAGTTAGTTTTTGTCATCCCGAAGATTAATTTAAAATGGTCGAGTCCAGGCACACATTTAATCTGCTTTATTTATCGAGTATTATTCACATGACATCAAAGGCATTCGGCGGAGCTGCTTAAGGCGAAATGACGGCCATTGGCTAAATGAAAACTGACAGTTGAAGTTATTCTGTCATGTTGAAATTCGTAGATTTCAAAAATAAGATATCATATGATGTAATAAGATAATTTATATGATAGTTGAATATTTAAGTTATAAGGTAGTGTAATATTAATATAATATGGTAACGTAAGATCATGTACCTATCAAAGGAATGCTGTTAGAAACGTTGGCATCTTCCACAAGACTTGGTCACGTGGTTTCTACACTGTGGCGTTCAAACGTTGTTTTTTCTTCTTCTTCGGAATCTTGAGTTGATGAACATTTTGTGGAGATAGACCCGTGTCAGAAATTCTTACGGCTTTAATTAAACTATTAAAATATTATTACCGAAATGTGGCGCTTATGTCCTATCGATAGTTGAGCTAGCAACATCAATAGCAAAAAGTGGGGGCGGGGGGGTGGGGTGAATTGGGTGGGTTTGGGGCAGAAGGAGATTATAGAAGAGAAGAAGCTGAAGTACGGTATGTACGGACATGATGTCGAGCCCCTGCCATGATATCGCCATAGAACCATTGAGAATGCAATAAGTGTGGACATGATGTCGAGCCCCTGCCATGATATCGCCATAGAACCATTGAGAATGCAATAAGTGTGGACATGATGTCGAGCCCCTGCCATGATATCGCCATAGAACCATTGAGAATGCAATAAGTGTGGACATGATGTCGAGCCCCTGCCATGATATCGCCATAGAACCATTGAGAATGCAATAAGTGTGGACATGATGTCGAGCCCCTGCCATGATATCGCCATAGAACCATTGAGAATGCAATAAGTGTGGACATGATGTCGAGCCCCTGCCATGATATCGCCATAGAACCATTGAGAATGCAATAAGTGTGGACATGATGTCGAGCCCCTGCCATGATATCGCCGTAGAACCATTTCTCGAGCTGGGCATTTTGACGTTTTACTGAAAGATTGTCACATCCTTCCCAACATGTGGGTGATTGCGAGTAAAGCAAAGGCCAATGCCGTTTCGTGGTAGCAAGTAAAACAAAGGCCAAGGCCAGTGCGTGGTATCATCTCCAAAATGATACAAGTTCTTTTAAGGTGGCTTTCTCAAATCTTTCATTGGGCAAATGGCGTACGGGAGACTAACATTCCTAACTGCACCAAATATTTTGATTTAAATGCCTTTAAAAATTCATCATTTTACACCTAGCTTTGGGCCTATGCGTTTTATTTCTCAGAGCACTGCACAAGCACGTAGTTTATTTCAGCTGAAGTCATTAAGTTCTTCCCTCACCCCAAGGGCAGAATAATTGATCATATCCTGGAATATTTCTTTTCAATTCGATTGGAAAATTTAAACGAAAGTTGCCCTTAAGGTCAATGTCCTTTGTGTGTAGGATGGAACCAAAAAGAACAAATTGCAATATTTTTTGTATAGTTCCGTTGTTATATTTTTTTCGGAAACAAATCTGAGCCAAACGAAGACGTTGGACTTTTCTTGGCCATGTTAAGCATTGATGATTTTTTTTCAAAAGGCCCGCCGGGCACATTGAACTCAGTTTACCAGGTCAATGAAAAATGAGAAAATTAATATTTCATCCCACAGAATACAGAGACACGATAAAGCACTGGTTGATTCTTTAATTTCCGTGAACTAAATTGTTGTCCAAGCTGATCTTATCATAATAGGATTACCCCCCCCCCCAATTTCCATAGCAGGAGGGTTAACCTATCGTACTTAGTTAACACACAACTACAACGCTGAGATGAGGTACAGATGGCCTCGTCAAATTCCACCAATGTCACTACTTTAAGCTTGTGGTACAGCAGTGCTGGCAATATTGTTTGAGCTTCGCAATCGAAAACCTTTCCAAACCATTCGACAACACTTCCCTTGTGTGGGGCAGATTCGGGGCAGGTGGGTTGAATCAATGACCATTTATTATTAAACTTTATCGTCATCATTTTAGGAGAAAAAAATCGATTTAATTCATTCTCCACGGCATGGCTCTAATTATTTCAGGCATGGCCGTGGCAGCCGTGAGAGCCATAAGGCTCGTAATAGCCACGGCAATACACAGCGAGTAGGCGTCTATTCATTTTATTGATAGACATAAAGTTATTTTATTAGAATCCTTTGCCGAGTTTAGTTCTTTTTATGACTACATTAAATTCTTACCTCCTTATGGAATGCCTGTCATATTTTTTTATTATTGATTTTTCCAATTTGGTGCAATTCTAAAGTAGAATGATTTGTTCGGATTTTTACATTATTTACCGGAAAATCAGAACCAATTTTAAAATATATATATATATATATATATCTATATATATATATATATATATATATAATTGTATAATTATTAAAAGTTCAAACATATTTAACCGCAATGAGCAACGAAACTTTCCAGGGGATTTTATAATTGGGAAATTAAGAAGTAGCCAGCTTCTGAAAGAAGCCCCTTTTATAGTTACTGATCAAACACCTGGACTCCCATATGAAAGGGAGTGTCAGAATTAGGTACTTATAGGTATCTTCGAAAACCACAGAAAACGCAAAAACTGCAGACGGACTTAAGGCCCTTGATCAGTCAACATGTGGCCCGTCTTTCAAATTTGAGGACCGTTACACAGCGGGTTCACCTGCGGGTGAACTTTAAAAGGATATAAATAATATTTTAAAGAAAAAAGTTTTTAATCCTTGACAACACTTGAATTTTTTCTTTGCTTCAATTACCAAAGATTGTGCATCTATAGTGCCACCACAAACCAATACTCATTTCAAATGGTTGTTCATTCATAACTGTTTTCACCTGTTTTCCCCCCACAGCGTGCACGGCAACCATTCTTCTCGTCCTGTTGGTAACATTAATCCTGCACCTGGCCATCAACTCTCGGCGGGACGACTTCATCGTCGACGAGTCCTTGCGGCCCCTCCTGTCATCACGCGAGGATGGCGCCCACAGCTTCCCCTACAACCAGCGCCAGCTCTTCCACATATTCGACACCCACCCCACTCTTCCGGGGCGCTTCCGGTTCGTTGACCTCAAAGCGGCACACCGACAATTAAAACGCGCCAACGCCACACGGGCGAGATGTGTCGTATCCAAGACGGCCCCGAGCTTCACGATTTGCGTGTACCCCCCGGAGAGAGACAAGTACATATCCAGCTCACTATTGACCAGCGGGATATGGGAGCCGTACATCACTCAAGCCTTCCAGACGGCCCTGGAGCGGTTCCCGCAAGCGACGGTCATAGATGTCGGTGCTAATCTAGGATACTACAGCTTGTTGGCTTCAGCCATGGGGCACAGGGTCGTCGCCTTAGAGCCGCAGACTGAGAACCTGAATCGATTCGTCGCAGGGGCCCGGGCCGACCGATGGAATGACAACATAATTTTACTAGCCAACGCCCTGTCTGACGGACACCGGAACGTCAGCCTGTCACGCAGCGACGACAACCAGGGTGGGATTCGAGCGCTAGACAGATGTGATCAGCTGTGGCCAAGCTCCAGCTCCATGGGCGGGCAGTGTACGGTTCCCACGCTTACTCTGGATGACCTGCTGTACGTGGTGACGTCAAAAATTGTCATCATCAAATTGGACATAGGTAAAATACTCATTGTCATCAAACTGGACATAGGTAAAATATTGATTGTCATCAAACTGGACACACGTAAAATATTGTCATCAAAGTGGACACAGGTAAAATATTGTCATCAAACTGGACATGGGTAAAATATTGTCATCAAACAGGACACAGGTAAAATATTGTCATCAAACTGGACATGGGTAAAATATTGTCATCAAACAGGACACAGGTAAAATATTGTCATCAAACTGGACATGGGTAAAATATTGTCATCAAACAGGACACAGGTAAAATATTGTCATCAAACAGGACACAGGTAAAATATTGTCATCAAACAGGACACAGGTAAAATATTGTCACCTGGACACAGGTGAGATAACAATAATTGCCATCATCAAACTGGACACAGGTGAGAAAACCATGTCTTCATCAAGGTAAGATGATAGGCTCTATGAAATGTTCAATGACAAACCTCGGTGCCTTGAGATTTTGTTTTACGTTAACTTCATTTGCATTATAATCAAATGATTACTTTAAGGGGTGGGATTTAAGGTGTTCACTCCCCAATGATTCCTGTCCATATATTACAATCGAGTTTGATTATTTAAAATGTTCATGTATCGTCCACAGAGGGGTACGAATGCAAGGCTCTGGCCACCGCATCGCAATTCTTCTCAGCTATTAGAGTGCCTTATATCTTCATGGAGTGGCGACAGATGACGGAGAGACAGATGCTTCCGGAGACAGCCTGCCCGCCAGACGGGATCAGACGGCTAAGCAGTTTCCTCGCAGACAGGGGCTACGTCCCGCACGAGGTCAGGTCGGGAATCAAGCTAAGCCCTTACAACGCTGGCCGTTGGAGGGTAGGGGACGTGTACTGGAGGTCAGGGGATCAAAACCTTCTGGTTCCTTCTTTGTAACGTACGGACTTGACGCGGGAACGCTGCGTTGATGGCTAGAAATCAAACTCCTTGACAACTAGAAACGCTAACTTGGTCTGTCAGGGGGTAAGGTGGGATGTAAACTTGTGATCGCACGCAAAATGACGCATGACGAAATAAACCGTGTGTCAGATGTTGAGATTTGTTAAGACTTTGTGCCCATGCTTTCAGGAAAACCAGAATATAGAATATTGGGAGATTTAAAATGTGTACAGGGCAAGGAATGACATGTACACGTGTAGAGATATGGCTTCTACCCTTCAACCTTTGCCCTGGCCGACATTGGTATATTAGTCAATCTGGGCATGTTCTGGGGAGGGTGGCATGTTCTGGGGAGGGTGGCATGTTCTGGGAAGGGTGGCATGCTCTGGGGAGGGTGGCATCTTCTGGGAAGAGCGGCATGTTCTGGGGAGGGTGGCATGTTCTGGGGAGGGTGGCATGTTCTGGGAAAGGTTCCATGTTCTGGGGAGGGTGGCATGTTCTGGGAAGGGTGGTATGTTCTGGGAAGGGTGGCATGTTCAGGCAGGGCGGCATGGTCTGGGGAGGGTGGTATGTTCTGGGGAGGGCGGCATGGTCTGTCTGGGAAGGGTGGCATGTTCTGGGGAGGGTGGCATGTTCTGGGAAGGGTGACATGTTCTGGGAAGGCAGAATGTTCTGGGGAGGGTGGCATGTTCTGGGAAGGCGGAATGTTCTGGGGAGGGTGGCATGTTCTGGGAAGGGTTGCATGTTCTGGGAAGGGTGGCATGTTCTGGGGAGGGTGGCATGTTCTGGGAAGGGTGGCATGCTATGGGAAGGGTGGCATGTTCTGGGAATGGTGGCACATTCTGGGGAGGACGGCATGTTCTGGGGAGGGGGACATGTTCTGTAAATGATACCCTGGCACGAGAACACAACCAGAACATATTTGTGTACATCCATTTGAAGACTTTAAACTTATTAAATAAATTCTCAGCTTTGATGTTGGCATTGCTCCTGACATCTTCTTCGTGCACCAAGTTTCATAGATTCTGTCACATGATTTGAGCCGCCATTTTACACAAGCCTTTTCTCACTCCTGCTATTTTGAAATTATATGTCCTATTGGCACAGTTCTGTGTCCTATTTGGCCCAGTTCTGTGTCCTATTTGGCCCAGCTCTGTGTCCTATTTGGCCCAGTTCTGTGTCCTAATTGGCCCAGTTATGTGTCCTATTGACCCAATTCTGGCTCCTACTGGCCCAGATTTGTGGCCCATTGGCTAAGTTATGTGTCCTATTGACTCAGTTATGTGTCCTACTGACCTATTCTGTGTCCTTCAACTAATCACAAGTAATTGTTTTACTGACAGGCCAACATTGCCTCCAATGAGCGTAAACTATTTTAAATTGCGGAAAGTTTGTCCACATTTTGATAAGATTTGTGCTGATGTTTGGAAGTACATTGATTGATGGAAGTCATTTACATGTTAAATTTGAACAATTTATTACAGGAACGTTTGTTGAATTGTATATGAGATATAATAAGGTTTTGTATTACATGTAATATTATTGGGATGTCTTTGTCATATATTTTGTATAAATGTCATCTGTTTGTATTAACATTTTGACAACTAAACACCCGTATCTCGAGTGACAACCCTAACCCTCGCCAATTTGAAAAAAAAAAACAAAAAATCTTCTTGACCACTGAACTGACGGTTACCTTGTGAGGCCCAAGCTCCAGCGCCATCACCATGGTCAGTGAATCCACGGCCCCTTTGCTGGCACAGTACACGGCATGATCTTGCAAAGCCCGTAGAGACGCGGCGCTGGACATATGAACTATGGCACCGCCCGTTTTCTTCTCTACCATAGACTTGGCAACCACCTATAAAGTCAAAGAACAAAAATGAATTTAGATTATTTGTTTTAAAAAAATGAATTAGATTTTTAAAAATTCCTTTTAGAATTGTGATACTCATTTTAGTTAGTTATTTTGGAGCAAGGAAATCAACGCACACAGGCAGAGGCGTAGCGAGGGAGATTCGCGCCCGGGGACAAGATCCATTTTTAAGCGCCCCCTTTTCTTTTTTTCAACTCTCAAACCATTATTTTTACCAATAATATAATATCAAAGCCCATTTTGGCGCCCCTAACTAGCTTGTGCCCGGGGACATCTGTCCCCCCTGCCCTCCCCCCCCCAATCACTACGCCTCTGCACACAGGACATCAGAAGTAGACGCTGAGACGGTTGTGAAGGCCATTTTTTTTTTTTAAAATGTTAATGGTCTGAGTTCCTAGTCATCAAAGCAAATGTTGAAGGGGATCCAACTCTTCTGTATAAACTAAAAGAAAATGTTCATTCTTTATCAGTATCAGTGAGGATCTTATTTTATGTATTATAATGATTTGAAGGACCAGCGCCATAGATCGATGTAAAAAAAAAATAAAAAAATATGTGAGTTCTTTCCATTGGCTCGGACAGTGTGAGATCACAGCCTATATTGTCAAATTCTTTTTCATCTAATCAGTATATCGATAAAAAAAAATACTTTCCAGAATTGCAACAATTTAAATTAAAAAATAGATTTTTTTTTTTTTTTGAAGATGCCCGTGACTCGTTCCAGTTTGTGTGGGACGTTAAGTGGATTAAAGGGAAATAATACTTTGACTAGGGAAATAACGCTTCAAAATAACAAGTGCTACGATTCCTACACGTAGTCAATCGGGTTTTAAAGATTTTTTGTTGTTGTAGTAAATGGTGATGAATTACTTAACAGAACTACGTGCATATAATTTTTCAATCTATTATATATGTCGTGTAATTGATTGACTACTTTATAGAAATTATGTTTAGTATATTATCAGTATTATGTGCACTAGAACAATTAATGAATTAATCAGTCACTGAATTAAGTTTTAAATTACATTTTTTAATATATTTATTTTCAACTTCTTGGGGTTTGTTAAATAGCTTTTTTTGATTGAAATGATTGTTTTGTCATTGCCAAATATTTGTTACAAAATTCTAATAGCAATATGTAGTCCTATGAACGTTTGCAATAAACTATTTTCTTTCTTGCATTTTTTATAACTACCAGCCGAGCTTAATCTCTGTGATGCCAACCCTGACCCAGTGACCACTAAAAAAAACCCATCCCATAACTCTCATCTGAAAGTCAGCAGTCTTAAATCAATAACAAGCTTGGCACACTCTCGAACCATAATGGCTGTGTATGTGCTGGCAATATGATTACACTCTCGAACCATAATGGCTGTGTATGTGCTGGCAATATGATTACACTCTCGAACCATAATGGCTGTGTATGTGCTGGCAATATGATTACACTCTCGAACCATAATGGCTGTGTATGTGCTGGCAATATGATTACACTCTCGAACCATAATGGCTGTGTATGTGCTGGCAATATGATTACACTCTCGAACCATAATGGCTGTGTATGTGCTGGCAATATGATTACACTCTCGAACCATAATGGCTGTGTATGTGCTGGCAATATGATTACACTCTCGAACCATAATGGCTGTGTATGTGCTGGCAATATGATTACACTCTCGAACCATACGGCTATGTACGGGCTGGCAGTATGAATACAGAAACAATTCAATGCATACATTTTAAACATGTTTTTCTCAGTGTTTATACCGATGCCATTTTTTGGTACGCATGACATTTGACCTTTGGAGATAAATTTTAATTATTTTCATTGCACGACTTAAAATGACGTAAGGAAAAGCCTAAAATAGTTTTTGTTCGGACCTTGACACAAATCTTAAGTTCACCGCTGGAAGCTGCCAGTCTAAATTAAAGCAGTCTGAGAGGAAATGATTTATTGACTTCACCGTGACATGAATATTAGGTTACAGACACAGAAATTATTTCTTTCAGTTTGAAAGCATCTTGCTGGATATTGGGAAAGTCATTTTGTGGGACAATAGGAAATTCACTTGTTGGATAATGTTCACATTAAGATTCATTTCCCCAAGCAGTAGAATTCAACAAAACTATTATTCTGTTCATGGGCGCCCGAAGGGAGGTGCACTTGCCCCCCCCCCCTGGATTGATTGGATACAAATTTGTAGACAAAAATAGACAAAAAATATATTCAAGTAAAGAGAAAATAAAGAGAAAGTAACTAAGCTGATGTCCTGTCCGTTCGTTCACCATACAATTAAAATTATATTAAAAAATTACTAAAAATTTTTTGCCCCCCCCCTGGAAAGTTAATCGATTTTTTTGCCCCCCCCCCATAAAGTTTTCTGAGGGCGCCCATGATTCTGTTATAACTTCAAAAATAAAATTAATTAAAAAAATTCTTAAAATTTTTTTCCCCCCCCCCGGAAAAGTAATTCGATTTTTTGCCCCCCCCCCCATAAAGTTTTCTGAGGGCGCCCATGATTCTGTTATAACTTCAAAAAATTTGTAAAAAAATAATTGTTAAACCAAAAACAAAAATAAAAACGTTCGATATTTTTTAAAGATTTTTTTTTATTCTTAGAAAATTTTAACTTTACAATTTGAATGACAATTTTTTAAAATCATAAGTGATTTTAAAGGAAAAACTGAAGAGCAAAAAAAAAAATTAAATCACGAGAAGGGAAGAATGCTGTTGTTTTTATGATAACTTTGTTTTTATGATAACTTTTTTTGTACGCCCTTAGAATTTTACAATTAAAATAATGTTTGATTGACTAACAAAAGCCTCAACGTTATGGGTGTCCTCCAGTTGCCGCCCCTAGACCACAAGTCTCGGCAGCCT